CTTCTTACAGTTACACTTCTGTCATGACCAAGACTCTGAGGATCGAGACCGAGACAAGATCGAGTCCATGACAAAAAACACCGGTCTCGAGTACTTTTACGACACGACCATCATCAAGAAATATGTTTATTGTTTTCCATTGTTGTGGCCTGGTCTTTGCTGGTGAATTATTTTTCAAAATCACTACATTTCATCCTTTAATTGTTTTAAACAGATTTTTTTTTTGCCTGTGTTTTTGTATTTTTACTTAAGTAACAAACCTGAGTACTTCTTTCACCGCTGTAACTTCCCAAAACTGGAGAAAAGGACAAAATAATGTGTTTTATTGGCGACTACACTTCTTACACTCACACTTCTGTCATGACATGTTGTTTAAAGCTGCATTGTGCAACTTTTCTGGCGGAGTGTCCGTCAAACCATAGAGATGTTATTGTTCTTGATGACAGACATTCTGTGTTGGCAACGGCAGGCCGGTGACGGAGCCCTAATGAAAAAGTGACAGAGTGCAGCTTTAAGTTAAACGTCGTGTTTGTAGATTTACGGCTCATCTCAAACACAAGACTTTACTGGATCCAACATCGGTCCAGTCCCACACAAAAAGGGAGACCACGTTCTTACAAGAGTTTTATTTTTAAATTAAAATCGACAGAGAAACACAAAAAATATTCAAACGAGATTCATAAAATGTCTAAATGTGTAAAACGTTGGATTCCCCTGTTGCGAAATCGCTCGGTGTCGACAAGAGCTTCCAATGTTGGTCAGAAAATTAAAACATTTGTTATTTAAAACCCAGGCCTGACGGTAAAAAGTCGTGCAAAGTTGTCAGAGGATGGTTCAGGTTCGTTATTAAAGGTGCATTCTGGAACTTTTCTGGTGGAGGCTCAGGTTACAGGTCAGATCTGTGGAAAGGCGACGCCGCTCACAGTCAGAACACCAGTTTTTTGTTTTTTTTTTCTAGGTATTTTCGAGCGATAAAATCACCTGTAATTGAATAAATGTAACGTAGACCTGTTTAAAGTCACACTGTGGTATCCATAGCAACAAGCAGGTGACAAGTTACACAGTGTTGCTTTTTTGTAGTGTTAAAAAATGAAACTAAAACAACAAAAAATTGTCTTGAAATTTGGTTCGTCTTAAATATCTTAATTCTACGCCGCTTGCTCGTCTCCATGGAAAAGTCATTGCTCTGTCTAGAATGTTCCGCAGTGTAGATTAAACCCGCTGTATTAGACGAGCAGGTTACAGCTCGACGCTACGTTACAGGTCAGATCTGTGGAGAGGCGACGCCGCTCACAGTCAGAATACCAGTTTTTTTTTTTTTCTAGGTATTTTCGAGCCATAAAACCAGCTGTAATTGAATAAATGTAAAGTAGATCTGTTTAAAGTCACACTGTGGGACATTTCAAGCGGAGCAATGACGTATCCATAGCAACAAGCAGGTGACAAGTTACACGGTGCTCCTTTTTTTGTATTTTTAATCATGAAACTAAAACTAAAATAAGAAATTGGAGTGAAACTTGAAATTTGAAATCCACTTTGAATTATCTATCTCGTCTCCATGGAAACGCCATCGCTCCGTCTAGAATGTTCCACAGTATAGATTAAACGCGCTGTGTTAGACGAGCTACGTTACAGGTCAGATCTGTGGAGAGGCGTCCCTATTCACAGGAGGAATTATTGTATTTTTAAGCAATAGAAAGAAAAAAAAAAGTTTGCTTGGATCTGTTTAAAGTCACACTGTGGAACATTCCAAGCAGAGTGATGACGTGTCCATAGCAACAAGCAACAAGTTACACGGTGCTTCTTTTACTGTATTTTTAATCATGAAACTAAAACTAAAATAATAAATTGGAGTGAAACTTGAAATTTGAAATCCGCTTTGAATTCTCTGCCGCCGCCTCCTCGTCTCCATGGAAACATCATCGCTCTGTCTCGAATGTTCCACAGTATAGATTAAACCCATAAGACGATTACATTACAGGTCAGATCTGCGGAGAGGCGTCCCTATTCACAGGAGGAATTATTGTATTTTTAAGCAATAGAAAGAAAAAAAAAAGTTTGCTTGGATCTGTTTAAAGTCACACTGTGGAACATTCCAAGCAGAGTGATGACGTGTCCATAGCAACAAGCAACAAGTTACACGGTGCTTCTTTTACTGTATTTTTAATCATGAAACTAAAACTAAAATAATAAATTGGAGTGAAACTTGAAATCCGCTTTGAATTCTCTGCCGCCGCCTCCTCGTCTCCATGGAAACATCATCGCTCTGTCTCGAATGTTCCGCAGTATAGATTAAACCCATAAGACATTACATTACAGGTCAGATCTGCGGAGAGGCGCCGCTATTCACAGAAGGAATTATGTAAAAAGTAAAATATAAAAAGTGAATGAATACATGTTTAAATGAATATGTTTTAAAGTCACACCATGGAACATTCCGGGCAAACGAACAAAAGCACATCTCCACCAGAAAAGTTTGTGCGCACAATTTTTGCATTTTCTTCATCTGACAACTTTAAAACAAAACAGTCTTTAGATTTAAAAAGAGAAACATGTCCGTTGTAAATCCAGCCTGCCGGTTTAGACGAACACGTGTCTCGTTTTTAAACATGACGAACGGATTCTGACGAAAACAAAAACCCCAAAAACACATTTCCAATTGTGTAAACGGACGTCTGCTCCACCAGGGGGCAGCACAAACACACACAGATGTTTAATACAAGTGTTAATAAAAGATACTCTTGAATATTATTGCAGAAATCACGATAATGTTTAAAAATATGACCTTCTTTAACTCGTCTGACCGGCCGCCTGACCACTAAGAATTTGTCTTAACCAGGACTAGTGGAGTTAAATAGAGCTTTATTTTTATATTTCTACTGGACATGTTTTATTTGTTTTGTTTTGTGGCGTAAACGTAAGGTAAGAACGTCGCAAGAAAATCAAACCTGTTTTAAATCCAGTCGCCTCTCGCATCGGATCGTAAAGTGTGAGAACATGAATCGTGAGCTGTGAACTTTTAAACTTTTTTATTTATAATTAATTAATCATAATTGTACCCCTAATTTTTATTATTATTATTTATTTATTTAAAATTTGTATTATTTTATTTACTAGTTTTATTGTCTTAACCAGGACTAGTGTAGAGAATTGGAGCTTTATTTTGATCTTTCAATTGGACTTTAGTTTAACTAAACCAGGTCTAAACCAGGACTGAACCAGGTCTAAACCAGGTCTAAACCAGATCTAAACCAGGTCTAAACCAGGTCTAAACTAGATCTAAACCAGGTCTAAACCAGGTCTAAACCAGATCTAAACCAGGTCTAAACCAGGTCTAAACTAGATCTAAACCAGGTCTAAACCAGGTCTAAACCAGGTCTAAACTAGATCTAAACCAGGTCTAAACCAGGTCTAAACCAGGTCTAAACTAGGTGTAAAACCAGGTCTAAACCAGGACTAAACCAGGGCCAATTTGAAGGCAACAAAAAGGAATTTTCAGGATGTGTTGTTACATTCATGTAGTTTTTAAAAGCATGACAATATCAAGTAATCCAAAGTATTCAGATTACATTACTCACTTTAAGTAATTGAATGGATTACGTTACAAACTACATTTTGGGGGATGTAATCTGTAATCTGTAGGGGATTACATTTTAAAAGTCACCCTTCCAACACTGTCTATAGAAATAAAGTGGATAAAGTTGGATTTAAGATCTAAGAAAAACGTGCAGTGAAATTTTTGGCGTTTAACCCAAAGAAATATGACTTTTTGTGGATCCGCATAAAAGAAACCACATTAAAGACAAACTTTCTCTTTCCTCTCTCTTTGTGTAGAAAAGGGAAAGTCCGCCGGCCGGTCAGACTCTGGTGCTCGTGCCGCTAAAAAATTCAGTATTTCAAAATCAAAAACAAACCAACTGTAGCTTCCTTCATTTGCTCAATAAAAACAAGTGGCTTTCCCCAAAAAAAGAAACATTATATCACCACAGTTCCTCTGATCGCCGTCACCAGCGCCACCTGCAGGCGCTTCGGGGTCATGACAGAGAAGTAGAAGGCACATAGTGTTTTATTCCCTGATCACGGAGAGCTGCTTCATTTAAAGGACAATATTACGACATTTTTTGTGTGTTATAATGTCGTTTTTTCATCACAAACAAACCTGGAGTTGTGTTTTGTTTCTTTCACACAAGTTTAACGCACAAACAGTGTTGGGGAGTAACAGATTACATGTACTGGAGTTATGTAATCAGAGTACAAATGATGAGTAACTGTATTCAGTTACAGTTACTGTTTCAGTGAGTGGGAATTGGATTACAGTTACTTTGTTGAAATAAATGGATTACACAGCGGGATTTTCCTCTTTTCACATTTTTGTCTATATCCCCCTTTTTTTTTTTCCTTTTTTTCTGTAATTCCACTCATTGCTGGAAACTAAACCAAGTCTGAACTAGATCTAAACCAGGATTTAAACCAGGACTAAACCAGGACTAAACCAGGACTTAAACCAGGTCTAAACCAGATCTAAACAAAGTCTAAACCAGGTCTAAACCAGGACTTAAACCAGGACTAAACAGGACTAAACCAGGACTAAACCAGGACTAAACCAGGACTTAAACCAGGACTAAACCAGGACTAAACAGGACTAAACCAGGACTAAACCAGGACTAAACCAGGACTAAACCAGGACTAAAACAGGACTAAAACAGGACTTAAACCAGGACTAAACCAGGACTAAAACAGGACTAAACAGGACTTAAACCAGGACTAAACCAGGACTAAACCAGGACTAAAACATGACTAAAACAGGACTTAAACCAGGACTAAACACAACTTAAACCAGGACTTAAACCAGGACTAAACCAGGACTTAAACAGGACTAAAACCCAGGACTAAAACCAGGACTAAAAACCAGGACTAAACCAGGACTTAAACCAGGACTAAACCAGGACTAAACAGGACTAAAACAAACAGGACTAAACCAGGGACTAAACCAGGATCTAAACCAGGTCTAAACCAGATCTAAACTAGATCTCGTTACTCACTTTAAATAACTTTATGGATTATGTTACAAACTACATTTTGTAATCTGTAATCTGTAGGGGATTACATTTTAAAAATCACCAACACTGTGTACAAACCCTGCGCATTTAGGCCGAGTTTTTCTCTCAAACACGACTCCAGGTTTGTTTTTGAGGAGTTAAAAACATTATAACGTGATTTAAATCTCACAAAAATCAATTCTGCGTAATATAAAACCTTTAAATTATTAGTGTTTTTAGATAAAACGACTGGAAAAAGGGAAAATCCACGCATCAAGGTCCTATAGTTTCTGCATTTTTACTGTTTTTACTTCATTCATTTACTTCTTTACTTAATTTAAACGTCATTAACTGAACCTAATTGTTTAAACCGTATTTAACCGCTAAAAATCCATCAAAAATAAGAGACACCTCTATTTTTTGAATTTTGTTTAATTAGTCAAAAAATCAAAAAAATGTGCGTCAATTCTTCTTCATTTCTGATGAATTTTTGTGTGTGGATTACAAAAATTTCAGAGTTACTTTGTTTTTCAACTTTTCTTTCAAATTCTCATAAACGAATGAAACTAAGATAAGTGTTTACCCTGAGTGCTTCCTCACCAGCTTAAATAATTACAAAAACATAAAAACCTGTTTCACGCGTGCTCATTTTTACAATTCTCAAATTTTGATTTAATGTTGTGGGATTATAACTGCTGTTTTACACCAACTGAGAAGCAATTTACGAAGAAAAGTTGAAAAATATGTTGAAAATGACAGGACACTAGGGAGAATTTTTGAGAAAATTCAGCACAAGTTTACATTAAAGAAACGCTGTTTTCTCAGACTTTAAACATAATTTTCGACAAAATAAAGGTGTTTTCTTATATTTTTAATTGTCAGATAATTATTTCTGTGTACGTTAAGAAAAGGAGGAGTGTTTTTAGGTAATAGTACAATTTTAAACCTAAAAAAAAAACGACCAAATTAGAAAAAAACGAGAGTGAATGTTTTAGTGAAATGAAAAGTCTGACCTGACGTAGGCGCTTTAAATGGAAATCCCTTTTTGCAGTCTGTAACTTCTGATATTTTTAGTATTAAAAACAAAACAAAAAAAAAACAAAAAAACAGAACATTGTCGGCGCGGTCGTGTCCGTTTCAAACAGTGACTAAAATAAACTCTAGTTAGTGTCTCGAGTAAACGTCGTAGTGGTACATTTGTGAACGGGGCTTGGATAAAGTGCACGATGGGCCGGTCCCCTCACGGCCGCAGACCCGCTGGAGCTCCAGGACCGGCCCGGGATCAAACCGGGACTAGACCAGTGTTAGCTCTTGTTTTTATGTTTGCCTTCCCTGCTTTACAGCTAGGGGGCCCTATAACCCCTTTTGCACTTGTTACTTGCTTGTATTTTTATTGGGACTAACAACCGGGACTAGACCGGGACTAGACCGGACTAGACCGGGACTAGACCGGGACTAGACCGGGACTTCAGTGGGTCTCGATCACGACGGGCTCATATCCTCCAGCAGACACCCTGAAAGAAAAAGATACACAGAGTTATTGGAATGATGCACAGAGTAAGGTGTACTGGAACGGAATATGGATTTTAGTCCTGGTTTAGAACTAATTTAGTCCTGGTTTGGTCCTGCTTTGGTCCTACTTCAGTCCTGGTCCAGTTCTGATTTAGTTATTTAGTTGGTTCAGGTCTCAATCCAACTTGAGTCTTTGTTTAGTCATGGTTGGAACATGAATTTTAGCCCTGGTTTAGTTTTGGTTTAGTCCTAGTTTAGTCCTGGTTTAGTCCTGGTTTAATCTAGTTCAATCCTGGTTTTTAGTCCCAGTTAATCCTGGTTTACATCCGTGGTTTAGTCCTGCTTTAGGCCATTAGTCTCAGTCCAATTTGAATATTTTAGTCCTAGTTTGGTCCTAGTTTGGTCCTGGTTTGATCCTGGTACGATTCTGGTTTAGTCCTGGTTTAGTCCTGGTTTAGTCCTGGTTTAGTCCTGGTTTAGTCCTGGTTTAGTACTCCTGCTTTTTTGTCTCATTTGTCTCAATGCTGGTTTAATTCTCTTTTAGTTCAGTTTTAGTCACGTTTTTGTCTTGCGTTTTGTCTTGCGTTTAGTCTTGCGTTTAGTCTTGCGTTTAGTCTTGCGTTTAGTCTTGCGTTTAGTCCTGGTTTGGTCCTGGTTTGGTCCTGGTTTAGTCCTGCGTTTAGTCCCGGTTTGGTCCTGGTTTAGACCTGGTTTAGTCCTGGTTTAGACGTGGTTTAGTCCTGGTTTAGTCCTGGTTTAGACCTGGTTTAGTCCTGGTTTAGTCCTGGTTTAGTCCTGGTTTAGTCCTGATTTAGTCCTGGTTTATTTCTGCATTTTGTTACTTGTTCAGATTTTTTCCTGACGTAGTTTTAGTCTTGCTCGGTCACATGTTCCGTTTAGTTTTTGTTTGTTTTTTAATCCCAAAAATAAAAATAAAACCAGCTGCAGTCGTGTGGATTTTTCCAACACAAACATGAGAAATTTTGATTGTGTTTTGTTTTCAGACGGAGCAGTTTAGTCACGTCCAGAGTGTTTCTGTTCTCACTGCAGTGACACACTCTCCACAGCAGAGGGAGCTACACACCCATTTAACAAAAACTGATCGAAGCAGGAAAACACACTTAAGATATATTACCATTTTCGATTTTAGTCAACATTTTAATGAGCTCAACATTTGTCTAATAATATTTTAAAATCTAAAAAGGAAAATGTTTTAAAAATGTCAACACTGAAGAAAGTCCAAACCAAAAAGCAACTGTACTTATTATTATTATATTGTACTTGTTTTGTGCTGCATTTTTGTATGAAAAGCGCTCTGTAAATAAAGTTTGACTGATTTATTGTTATTAGTGATGTAACAATAACCAAAATATTGTGTTATTGTATCATCAAAAGTTTCACAATAATACAGTGGACCATCACAATATAGCAAATTAAAAGTTTCTCTGCTTAAATTTATTATTGTTTTGGTGCAGCAAGAGCTAAAAGCAGAGAGAACTACATAGACCATGATGCTTTGCTCTGATTCTGTCCAATCTACATTATACAGGGTGTCCCAAAAAATATGACATAATTTCTCAGGCCAGTTCTTGTTGAAATAACCTCAAATTTTCAAGAATGTACAGAAACAGATCAAGATTTTATATTTATTATCGTATTTTCTGGGCAATTAGACGCGGTCTTAAGCCTCTAAACCAGGGGTGCTCAGACTTTTTCAGTATGTGAGCTACTTTTAAAATGATCGTGTCTGAAAGATCTACCACCTAATATAAAAATGTTAAACATATATTTATTTGTAAATGTATTATGAATTCTTACATGTACGACACATTTTGAGGTATCTTGCATAACGTCATGAGAGAATACTGCACAACACGATTAAACTTTTTACATGTTCGTAATTACTTGAATCAGGGGTGCCCACACTTTTTCAGCATGCGAGCTGCTTATAAAATGTCCAAGTCAAAAATGATCAACCGACTACAAAGTCAAGTAAACTGTACTGGACTTAAGAGAACTTTCAAAGCACTTTACAGAAAACTGAAAAAAGTGAAGACAGTGATGAGGATTTTTAAACTTGTTTTTCCAAGTTCCTAACTGGAGTTACATGGTTAGTATGAGTTTTACAGTGGGATTTAGCCTCTGCACATTTACCAAACCAAACCCAGATGTATTTGTGCACGTTTATTAGGCAAACTTCAGCCACATGTCATGTAGATCTGCTCTGTGCTGTTGGCTCCTCTGTGCCAACACTCTAACATAAATTTAGATCAGTTTTTGCTTCGCGTTTTGTCTTGTCCTTCTAATCTGCGCATTGTGGCAGGAGCCTGTGTGCACTTTACCCGGGGAAGAGCAAGAGCGTGAGAAGGCGAGGGGCGGCGTGCTGACGTGAGGCAGATGGACAGGTAGGATGTTTTAAAAAAGTTGAACCTGCCCTGTGATGCACGCTGGTACACGAGGGCACACGCTGTCGCAGACGAGCCGTGCATAGGGAGCGTGTGTGTTTGTGATGTGCCGTAGAGTCTCCGCGGGTTTCAAATGAGCGCACAGGCTGCACTGAGACGCCCCACACGCTCCTGCACCCCGCTACAAGTTTATTACCAACAGCAGCGGCCGGAATGAAATATGATCACACTTGTTGAGTGTCAGACCTCGAGTGAGAGACAAGACCGAGTCCAAACGCGAGTCCGAGACGAGACACGGCGATCTACCCACACGACCTTGGAGATCGACTGGTAGATCGCGATCGACGTATTGAGCACCCCTGATCTAATCGCATCAAAAAACGACCACGCACCGCAATCCAGAGCGCCCCATACACGAATCCACTCGGGTGTCCCAGCACGACTTCAGTAAACTACAAAGCCACAAACACACACGGAGCAGACAGCGACCGCACAGAGAAAAACACCCACAGACACACTCATCACTCCACGCCGACGAGGAACGGAATGGAAAAGCCACGAGCGCAATGTGCCGCTTCTAGACACGACTGAACAACTGAGTCACTGCGAACACGCCGACAATCCGTTGGTCCCAGACAGCACCCTCCCTACACGCCACAACTGAACAAAGCCCAGAGTCAATGTGAACGAACAAACAAACAAAACCACTCACCCATCACACTGTTGGGTTTCATTTAAAGTCCCACGCCGTTTATTTGTGAAAAAAGTTTGAAAATAGACCATTTAATGACAGTGTGTCTTATAATCCAGAGCGACTAATAGCCCGGAAAATACCGTAATGTTTTATTTTTGTTCTGTTTTCAGGTTGAGCCGTTCACTTCCAAAGAGAAGTCGTTTTGCGTCTTGGAATCTGCTGCACACACTCACCCAAGACTGTGCAGCTTCAATGCAAAATTTGGAAAAACTTCACTACCTGGCAAAAAAAAAAATTGGACTTGGTACCAAAAATGTAAAGATGCAGGGCTAAAGGATTAAATATGTGTGTGAGCAGATTCCAAAACACAAAATGACTTCTGTTTGGGAATGAAAAGCTCAACCTGAAAACAGAACAAAAATAAAACATTAAATATAAAATCTTGATCTGTTTCTGTACATTCTGTGAAAATTTGAGCTTATTTCATCAAGAATTCCCAAAATTATTGACCTGTGAAATGATGTAAAATGTTTTGGGACACGCTGTATTTCCCGTCGGGAGTTTGGTTGGTAGTTCGATTACCTGGTCCCGAGTCTGATCCCGCTCAGAGCCGTGGTGCCGTCTCTGCTCACGAACAGGCGCAGGTTACTGTCTGAAACCAAAAACAAAAACAGCATTACTCACGTGAGAGCCCAAAACCACAAGATAAAGGTGCATTGTGTAACTTTTCACGTGCTTGTCTCCGTGGAGATGTGATTGCTTTGCCTGGAAATGTAAAGTTGGAACATGCATTTTAGACCTGGTCTAGCCCCGATCTAGTCCTAGTCTAGTCCTAGTTTAGTCTTAGTCTAGTCCTAATCTAGTACTAGTCTAGTCCTAGTCCAGCCCCGGTTTAGTCCTGGTCTAGCTCCGGTTTAGTTCTAGTCTAGCCCCAGTTTAGTCCTAGTGTAGTCCTAGTCTAGCCCAGGTTTAGTCCTGCTCTAGCCCCAGTTTAGTACTAGTCAAGTACTAGTCTAGTCCTAGTCTAGCCTCGGTCTAACCCTGGTCTAGTCCTAGTCTAGCCCCGGTCTAGTCCCGGTCTAGTCCCGATCTAGCTCTGGTCTAGCTCTGGTCTAGCCCCAATTTAGTCCTAGTCTAGCCCTGGTCTAATCCTAGTCTAGTCCATTTTTTTTTCCTGGTCTAGCCCTGGTCTAGCACTTGTTTAGGCCTGGTTCTGACCTGGTTCTGACCTGATTCAGACCTGGTCTAGTCCCATTTTTTTCCTGGTCTAGCCCTGGTCTAGTCCCGTTTTTTTCCTGGTCTAGTCCCGGTCTAGTCCCTGAAACGAGCCCTCGTCCTCATGTTGTGTATTTTTTATCAGATGATCCGTACCTTCAGTGTGATTCATGTCGGCAAAGTTCTGGCTCTGCACGATTTTCTCCACGATGTCGTCTGCGTCCATCCGAGTGTCGTTCACCCAGGACGGATGACTCTCCACCGAGTCCTGCTTCCTCCTGAAGCACAAAAGACACAGAGTTAAAGGTTTCTCACCTGCTTGTTTCTATGGATACGTCATTGCTTTGTCTGGAATGTTCCACAATGTGACTTTAAACAGCTCTAACTAACATTTATTCAATTACAGATGGGTTTTATCACTCAAAAATACCTAGAAAAACAGACATTTACAGGCCCCAGATTGGGCCTGTAAATTGGTCTGGTTTGGTCTCCATGAAGATAGAAAGTTTTAATGCCATACTGTGGAACATTCCAGACAAAGCAGTAACATCTCTAAGGACAAAAGCATTTAACAGACCCTCCACCACAAAAGTTACACCTGTACAGTGTGTTAGTCTGACCTGGGGGGCCTGTTGGGGGGCAGGGCGGGGCGTGGGGGTCTGGGGGGTTTGTCCGGGCGTGTGGAGGTCAGGGGGTCCGGGGGGCAGAGCTCAGGCGGGTCCGAGCTGAAGCCCAAACCCGACGCGCTGCTCCCTGTGGACGTGTTCCTGCGGTGGGTCAGGTCCGACAGGCTGGAGGAGCACGAGTGTTCTGTGCTGTAACCTGCAAACAAACCACCAAATAAACACAAATACAGATTAGTTTATTTATCCATTCTTTCTACAACCACATGTAAAACTGGACTCGTTAACAAAAAGGAAGATGAAGAGTTGTGGTGTGTGTTTCGGACCTGAGATCTTGCTGTGTTGGCTGGCGTAGCTGGAGTTTCTGGAGTGACCGGACTGGAACGCTTCAGGTTGACTCTGGTTTGACTCGGACTCCTCCAAAAGACCTGGAAACACAAATTACAATAAAAAAGAGTTAGATCAGGCCCACTCAATGTTTATTTATATTATAGAGACATTCAATATTAATGAACATCTGCAATTAGGTAGTTCACTTTTTCTGTCCTGCAGACAAAGACCACAAAGATCAAACATTTTTTGTGTAATTCTTTCAGTTTTAACAGCAGAGGTCACACCACATTCACTGTAAATTTGCCAACTCAGAATATTCTAATAAATTATTGAACATGTCTGTAATACTAGTGGAATAATTATGCAACTGTTCCTTCTTAAATAATCACTCTTTAAAAATTAAAAATGCATTTTTCACAGGAAATACAACTGTCACCCTGCAGGACATCACAGTCGCTTACAAAAGTAAGAAAAATCTAATTATTCAGTTAGTTCTTTAGCTTAAGCCCTGAACTCCAGAGCTCCAGAGCGTTTTATTTAAGGTGCATTGCTCAACTTTTGTGGTGGAGGGTCCATGACCTGCTTGTCTTTGTGGAAATGTTATTGCTTTGTCTGATGAGCAATTAATTTTTTTCCCCAAGGGACAAAATGACAAAGGTCGTCTGTGCTACATGGTCGAGTCCTGTGTTAGACTTATTTTAGTCCTGATTTAGTCCTGGTTTAGACTTGATTTAGACCTATTTTAGTCCCGGTTTTAGTATTGGTTTTAGTTCTGGTTTTAGACCTGGTTTAGACCTGGTTTTAGTTCTGGTTTAGTCCTGGTTTTAGTCCTGGTTTTAGTCCTGGTTTTAGTTCTGGTTTAGTCCTGGTTTTAGTTCTGGTTTAGTCCTCATTTTCATTTCCGTGGAGTTTTATGTCAGACTCTGGAAGCCAAAGGAACAACATTTCCAAGGAAACCAGCAGAGTCGGGGGCTGTGCTTATGTAGGGACTTTTCTTCACATCTTTTTATCATTCGGGGGAAATACTGACTAAGATTTAACTCCGAGTGTGGTCTGAGCAATCCTTCAGCACTTCCCTAAAAACACGAAATAACAATATCAAGTTAATAATTTTTATGTCTGATTGTATTTTTATTAAATTAGAAACAAAAAGTCTAAGAGGAATTTGAAACTGTTTTGTCAAAGCTGCATTTTGTGTATTTTTTTTAGTAGAGGTTGCGTCAGATACTTTTCTCCATGGGGATGTTAGTGCTTTGACTGGAATGTTCCACGGTATGGCATTAAACCTTTCTTTCTATCCTCACAGAGCCCAAACCAGACCAAGTTACAGGTCAGATCTGTGGAGAGGCGACGCCAATCACAGTCAGAATGCCTAGTTTCATGTTTTTTGAGGTATTTTTGAGCTTTAAAACCACCTGTAATTGAATAAATATAAGGTAGAGCTGTTTAATATCACACTGCGGAACATTCCAGGCAGAGCAATAACGTATCCATAGCAACAAGAAGGTGACTGTTAGAATAATTGTATATGTTATCCCATATTTTCTATGTTATTGTTTTTGTGTGAATAATGTTTGTGCTTATAACTATGCAGTGACTTGTCACCCACTCTGCACACCGCTAAAACAATGACTTAGTCAGCTCTTTTGCTGAGAAAGAGGACGGCTCTCACTTTTCCGGGAAAGAGGGCAGCTCTCAAGGATGGCAGAAAGAAGGGGACGTGCTGGAGGGGACGTGCTGTTCCTAAAGATGCTATAACAAAGATGCTACAACAATGATGCTACACCTTATCGGCCACCTGCTGCTGAATAGACATATTTGCACAATGAAATCATGTCTGATGTTTCTACTGTTTTTTGCTGTTTTCAACCCCTCCCCTTAGAGAAACACCCATTGTAACTAGGGACTCCCTTATGACAATAAAAAGAGGAGACGCAGGGAGTGCATCAGAGCTCTCTGTCCGCCCTCCTCAAGAGAAAACGATATTAATCTCTTGTCTTTCTTCTTACTTTTACAATGTTTAGGTGGGCTTAAACCTAACAGTGACAGACCCTCCAACCAGAAAGTTACACAGTGCATCTTTAACATGATTAGAAAAAAAACACCCGTCTCTAAAGGTGCACGGTGTAATTTTTCTAGTAAGGGGTCCGCCATAAATTTGTTGCCATGGAGATATTATTGCTTTGCCTGAAAGGTTTCATAATAGAGCATTAAATATCATCATCTGTGTTGCATTTATTCAATTAAAGGTGGTTTTAAAGCTCAAAAACACAACAAAAAACATGCATTCCTACATTGAGTGAGCTCGCCTCTCCGCCGATCTGACCTGTAACTTGGACTGGATGCACTGTGGGCTTGTCTCCATGGAAACAGATGAGTTTAAAGCCATACTGTGCACCTTCAAATGTTTATTACTCGTTTATGTCGTGATTTGTGGTTGAATACCCGAGCTGATGATGGAGGGGCGAGGCTTGGCGCTCCGGCCCAGAGACACGCCTCCGGAGCTGGGCGGGGGCTCGGCCGTGGTCCCCTCTCCTTTACAGTCCATCTGGAGAGCCGGCTCACGACCGGAGACCGTGATCGATTTGGCTGAACTCGGAGCCCTGAAAGAAAAAAACAACATTACAGCAACAACAAATATGCATTCACAAAATGCACCTTTAAATAGTTTTCATTTGTAGTTCAATCTGTCCAAAATGTTTTTAAAGGGGGTAGGGAAATACTTTGTAGGTGTATTTTTTTGACTCTGTATCTGTACTTTTGTTGCCTCGGATCCAGAATACTCTTAATGAAGATGTGTCTGGTCAACAGTGAATATCCCAGAGTTCAAATGGGCATGATTGACAGGTGGATTAACCAATCAGGGACACGTATGGTCTGTGTTATGGTCTGTTAGTGTTCCTCCTGTACCACTGTCACTTGGCTCTACTGCGCATGTCTCCTGCAGAAAGAGCCTCTGTCCTGTCTGTATCATGTCAGTCGATCGCACCGTTACTTCTGCACCACTCAACTATTTAACATTTAAACTTTAAACTTATAAAGACAAAGACTGAGAAGACCGAACACAAATGCCCCCAAAAACTAAATCAGATTCTGCAGATTACAAACTGCAAGTCGTGAAATCTGCAGCTGAAAACGGAAATCGAGCAACAGAAAGAAAGTTTGGAGTGAGAGAGAAACTTGTGACACCGGGAGGATGCACCATGAAACTTTCCTGAAGTCACTGGATGGATGGACAAAGTCTGGACTTCAGTGACACCAAAACCATCCTGTTGAGATTCAGAAAGACCCGAATAATTCTAACTGGAACTGATGCTGAGTCTGACAACAGCGACGCAGAAGAGTTTGCGGCGCTCTGTTTACCTCCGGAGGTCGAGGCCGAGTTGTTCAGAAGTGACACCGAGGATGAAGAATTGAATGGATTTAGTGATTTGGAGTGAGATGGAGAGTTTGATTAAACTTGTTCGGTTCTGTTGTTTATGTTACAGTTTATCTGAAGAACTGTGAAATATGTGACGTTAACAGTCTGTTGTTCTCTCTTCTGTTGTTATTACTACAACTTGACTTTACACAGGAAATGTCTGCTCCTGCTCTCAGATTTTTCCCTAAAAAGTGCAACTTATATATGTTTTTTTCTTCTTCATTATTCATTTATAGGCTGGTGCAATTTGTACTCCGGAGCATCTTAAAGTGCGAAAAATATGGTAATTGCACAGGTTCAGGTTTGTTTGGACCCGACGCATGACCAGACTGAAATCTCTTGATATAAAAGACACAGAAACTACAGAAAATCATTCTGGATTTGCCAGGCACACACTTTTACTTCCATCACTGTTCAGGAGGACGCAGCTCAAGGATTAGTTTATCGAGCACAGAGAGAACATGCAAACTCTACAGTGATCTGGGAATCAAACCTAAAACTTTCTCCGTGTGAAGACGAGCGCTTCACAAACTGGGAGGAGCGAGTTTTATTTGTCTTGGCTGTGATCGGGGTGGAGAGGCCGAGTCGCTGATCACGGAGCTATTCGGGTTCTAAAATGTTATCGCTCGAGTCTGAGGAACTGTCAAACATCCAGACAGAGACGAGAAAAAGCTGGAGGAAAACCAACGCAAACAAGATCGAAACGCGGCGATTTCTCAAAAGCAGGACAAGCCAGAGAACATGAGAAACAGACCGACGTTTAACAAGAAGATCAAGCTTTTGTTAGGAATGCATCAGGAAAGAGGGGAATATTTTGGACCACTTTAAAATTTACAAGTTTCGTTCTCACGTTTTTCTTTTTAAACTTGTAAGAATCAAGAAGAACTGGCCAAAATACAAAAATATGAAACTGACACACAACAGAATATGCAAACACAGCTTTTAAAGAGATCTTGACCGTGTTATAGCTGTATCCTTTTCTCATTTACCCCCTCGGAGTTTTGTTTAGAGTGATTCATGCGTGTTTGAGTCATTGTAATTCCCCTGCAGTCAGGACAGTATTTTTCTTTTTCTCTATCCCCTTGTAAACACCCACTGCTCTGTTTTTACTCCGCTCTCAACTGCAAAACTACAAAATCAGCTGCTTATTAACGTGATGTGAGGTTTTGTTGTCATGACATTTATCGTGATGTAGTGTAAAGGTTTTTTCAACAGGTTTTTTCCCCTTTTACTAAAGCGCAGCAAAGTAACGTATTTTTTGGACTTCACTTTTTTTTTCATGGTTTGGGTGTTACCGGTGCAACTTCTATATTAAAATGTTTGAGTGAAGTGTGGAGAGGTTCTAGTCTTGTGTGTGAGTATCTGCTGCTCCTGTTCCTCCTGCACCACTGTCACTTGTCTCTACTGCGCATGTCTCCTGCAGAAAGAGCCTCTGTTCTGTCTGTATCATGTCAGTCGATCGCACCGTTACTTCTGCACCACTCAACTATTTAACATTTAAACTTTAAACTTATAAAGACAAAGACTGAGAAGACCGAACACAAATGCCCCAAAAACAAAATCAGATTCTGCAGATTACAAACTGCAAGTCGTGAAATCTGCAGCTGAAAACGGAAATCGAGCAGCAGAAAGTTTGGAGTGAGAGAGAAACTTGTGACACCGGGAGGATGCACCATGAAACTTTCCTGAAGTCACTGGATGGATGGAAAAAGCCTGGACTTCAGTGACACCGAAACCATCCCAGGGTGTCCCCAGGTTTGACGACCTCAAATTTAAGACTTTTTAAGACCTTTTTAAGACCACTTCAATGAAAATTAAGACCAACATCACACCCATTTATGCAGGTGAAATACTCCAGATCCAGTTCTTATAATGACCATTACTCACTGCTTTAAATAACAAAAAATACTTTTATTATAAAATCTCATTCAGAACTCATTTATAGTCATAATTCTAACAAGACAAACTAAACTTTCACATTGTCTTGTCTCACATTGACTTTCAAAATGCTTCAACCAGAAACAGAGAAAGAGAAACAGAGAAAGAGAAAGAGAAAGAGAAAGAGAAAGAGAAAGAGAAAGAGAAAAAGGGAGGTGTAGAGCCTGACCTGGTGGAGTGACACAGAGATCACACTGAAGTCCAGTTCAGTAAACAAAAAATAGGCTCATGAAATTTAACACTTTTGTGAAAAAAATTTAGACTTGGAACAACATAATTTAAGACTTTTTAAGACCTCAATTTAGGAACATGAAATTTAAGACCTTTTTAAGACTTTTAAGATCCCGCAGCTGCACTGACTCCTGTCGAGATTCAGAAAGACCCGAATAATTCTAACTGGAACTGATGTTGAGTCTGACGACAACGATGCAGAAGAGTTTGTGTCACTCTGTTTACCTCCGGAGGTCGAGGCCGAGTTGTTCAGAAGTGACACCGAGGATGAAGAATTGAATGGATTTAGTGATTTGGAGTGAGATGGAGAGTTTGGTTAAACTTGTTCTGTTCTGTTGTTTATGTTACAGTTTATCTGAAGAACTCCTGCTATCTGATTTTATAAAATACATTTCCCCCAAAATGTGCGACTTATATTTGTTTCTTCTTCTTTATTACACATTTTTTGGCTGGTGCGACTTATACTTTGGAGTGGCTTATAGTTCGAAAAATACGGCAACTGTTCTAGTTACTCTTTATTCACTGACAAAACTTCAAAACTTTTCCATGACTTTTTCATGACTAAAGTAAATTTTCCATGACTTTATGGAACCTCCATGTGTAGAAATGTAGAAGAATCCATCCATATATTCACTGCATCGTTTTATTAGCCGTAGGGTTCGAGGTGTGAGAAAAAAGTAGCGGCTTATAGTCTGGAAATTACGGTATGTCTTCTTATATAAAAGCGGAACAGGCAGATCGGAAAAGCAGAACCAGGTTTACTTACGTTTTAAAACAGGGGTCTCCAGAAAGCAGCGTCATGCCGATAATCACCTGTGAAAAACACATTCTGATCAGAAAAATGCTCTTTCGGTCTTACAACTGATCTGATCATCTGAAAATATAAGTATAACCGTGTAAGTGTAGTTGTTTGTGTTCACCTTGAGGATGGAGTTGTCTTGTCTGGTGTTCTTGGTGTCGTATCCCTCCAGTAAACAGCAGCGCACGGTGGAGCCACAACCAGCGAACTCCGCCATGTTCAGATCTGCAAAACCCAACTACAGCACAGAGAGGAGACACACGTTATTGACTCTGAGCACAGCGGGGGAAGAAGTACTCAGTTTTGTGACTTAAAGAGCCATCAAACACCCTCCCGAAGATTTACTCTGTCCCAAAATCTGAGCAAAATCTGAAAATCCTCCAGAGTACGAGAGAAAGTGATGATTGACAACCGACCGACAGACACAACAATTGAAGCAGAGCGGATGTTTGTGCTCGGATTACACCGTCTCTCTTTTCTCCATAGTTACAAATATCTGGGCACCGTAATGGACAATAAATTTAAATTTGACCTAAACACTGAAAGCATCGTCAAACAAGGACAGTAAAGAATGTACCTGTTGAGAAAACCGAACACTTCACATAAACAAAACAATTCTCAACCATTTTTATTGTTCTTTTATTGAAAGTCTGTTTACTTTTTCTTTTATTTGCTGGTTTCAATCCCTGTCCTTGAAAGGATAAAAACAAACTGCAGAACATTGTTAAAACCTGCTTAAAAATCATAGATCTGAATCTGAATCCAGATACGGAGGGACACGGCGGTGCTCTGGTGGTGGCGGTGACCAGGTTGGGCCTCCTCGCGTCCCGCCCGTAGACGCCAGTATCTGCACTCGTTACGTAATAACCTGCGTCTGACTTATCAGCGCCATTAGTCATGGAAAATTCAAATGTTCTGGCTGTAGTTGATCCTAAAGAGGCCAATACAGACACGACTTTGACCCAAAAGTCAGATTTTTAACATATATGCATGAAAATGTCTAAATAAGGCCAGGGACAGAGATACACTTCCATTTAAAAAAAATAGATTTTGGTGTTTAGTGGTCCTTTAAATAAAAGTACAAATACCAAAGCAAAAAAATACATTTTTATTTGCTCAAATTATGAACATGTTAAAAATAAAGTCTGAGCTTTTTCAGCAAGTCTCACACTATAATAAAAAATACTTTAACTTTTCAGTAGAGTTAAGAAATCACTAGAAAGTAGAAACCACTAGGGGTGTAATGGTGCATGTATTCTGGCCAAACCGTTTCAGTACGAGATGTTTGGTTTGGTGCAGGGGCTGTGCACAAGTATGTTTGTGCAATTAATGTGCGTTTACATTCCTCCACTACATGTGTAGATACATGGGGACTTGGCTCTTTAATATTCACGAGGAAACTTGTCCGTGATTGGCACAGTGTTTCCCGTAGTGCTTTATAATTAGGGCGACCATCTGGACAACAATTCCCCTCCACCTTGACTACATCCCTCTGAACCACGAGAATCCTCACAAAACTACGAACGTCACTCCGCGGTCCTCACTTTCACCTTTCGCCATCCCCCCTGCCGACCTGGAACTGTTTGTGCTGCACTTTACTTTTTGAAAAGTTTTGTTTAATGTTTACAAGGAATTTATTTTGTACAATATTTCATACATTTGTTGCTTATTTGAGAATGTTTTATTGAACTTATTATCAGTATTACCAAGCAGCACTTTGCATTTATTTTATTTTCCTATTTGTATAATGTTAAAACAAATTGTTGGGTTAATAAAAACAGAAACGGTTTTGCATTTTGTTCCCAAACTGTCCCGAAAATCAACCAAACCGTGATTTCAAAACCGAGCTACGTGCTTAACTGTGATTTCTGAGTACCGTTACACCCTAAGAAAGTACAGATACCTCCTCAGAAACAGACCTGGAGTTGTGTTTTGCTTCATTCACACGCGTTTTGAGTAACTTTATATTATTAGTTCAGTAGAGATCGGCAATTCCAAGGCTGATATTATCCAAATGATTCTAGTGAAGCTGTGTGGAGTCCAAACAAAACAAAACTCAGAAAGTGTGTCTGTTAAAATTAACTCGGGAGCAGGTCTTTTTATACACCTGCAACTTTCCCGTAACAATAAAACATTTATAGCTCATAATTCTTCCTATAGTTGTGGTTGCAGAAGTGGGTCAGGGAGCGCTCGCCGTCCCACAGGAGCGCACCTTTGTAGTGAATGTTGTTTTAAATTAGCACGTTTCCCTTTCTCGACCGGGGAGTGTTTTCGTAGGTGTGGGGTCGCAGGAAGTTTGGCTTAAATTTAGACCAAAGCGGAAACAGATCCGGCGGTTTAACGAACGGGAGAGTTAGAGTTATTAGCGTTCGCGGCAGGATGTTTTTTAGGATTTTAACGATTGTGCTCAGAGGAAATCTTTCATCCAGGACGCACTATACTCACGGTCATTAAGGAATTAACTTAAAATAGAAATGGAGCGCTAAAGTCCTGGTTTAGTCCTGGTTTAGTCTCATTTTAGTCCTGATTTAGTAAATGGTAAATGGTCACATTTTTCTACAGCGCTTTTCCACCTTCAAGGTGCTCAAACCACTCACCCATTCACACACCAGTGTACACAGACACCCACAAGGTGGGTTAAGTGTCTTGCCCAAGGACACAACGCCAGCATTCATCTGTGGGAGCTGGAATCACACCAGTCAACCTGTGGGTCAGTGGATCTGACCGCTCAACCTGTGATGTTTATGTCGAGAGCTGGAATTGAACCGCCAACCTTCAGATCAGTGGGCGAATGCTCTACCAACTGAACTACTGCCACCAGATTTAGTCCTGCTTTAGACCTGCTTTAGACCTGCTTTAGAACTGCTTTAGTCTTGATTTAGTCTTTCTTTAGTCCTGCTTTGGTCCTGCTTTGGGTCCCGCTTTAGTCCCGCTTTAGTCTTGTTATAGTCCTCTTTTAGTCCCGATTTAATCCCGATTTAGACCCGATTTAGTCTCGTTTTGGGCCTGCTATAGTCCTGTTTTAGTCCTGCTTTAGTCCTTGTTCAGTCCTAGTTTGGTTGGTTGTTTGGTTATTTTATTTTATATTTAATTAATTAATTTAATTGTTTTAACACTCTTGTATTGGTCAATATCGATCAATATCGTTCAATATTGGTCATCGACAGATATTTAAAACCACTGTATTGGTATCGGAACTGAAAAACCCTGATGGGTGTGTCCCTAGAAAAAGGCCGATTCGATTTATGATTCACAAATGTAATCGGTCTTAAATGCAGCGTTTCCTAGTACTTCTTACTTTCTGTACAAATATTAGTTTTTGCAGGTAAAGTTTTGGGTCAGAACTTTTACCCCGCCGCGTTTTCAGTCGACAAATGGATCGGTGGGACAGTTCTTTAGTTGATTACGGCCTTTATTGCAATATGTGACGAGATTTGCGATGTCTTAAAGTAATATGACTGGAGAAGAGAGTGAAATATGAAGAGCGAAACGAAAACCATCTTAGTTTTTGTGATGTTAGATATCAGAGTAAATGGAAACGGAGCTCTGAGCCATATAAAGGTGAAGAATGCAGCGTCCTGGAGGCAGCCTGGAGATCTTTATCACGAAACATTAATATTTACAAAACCCAAAGTATCAGTAGTGGATCCATCTCTCACGGAGACTGTCCCGGCTCAAAATTAAACATCTTTAAGAGTGTTACTAAAACTAAACCAGATGCTAGAAAGAGTGAAAGAGTCTTGTTTCTCAGCTTTTTGTCAAAGAAAAGATCTTTAATGTTGCTAAACTTGACTTTTGACTGCGCCGTTTCTTATTAGGAATGCACTGCTCTGATACCGATGTCTGATATCGGCACAACAATGAAACACTCGTTGGATCGGATAGATATTGACTTCCAAATATCGGGTCAGTCGATATCCTGGTTGGACATATACAAAAAATTTATGTAACAAAAGGTTTACTGGTCAGAAAGTCTCTTCTCTACTTTTATTCAATTACAGGTGGTTTTTAAAAATAAAATTTCCTGGTTGTAGTAAGATCAGAAAGTCTCATAATGTTTTAACTTTTATTTGTACAAAGTTGTTCTATTGTTACTGGTTTCATGAGACATTTGGATCAGTTATGTCATATTTTAGTTTAGTTTAAAGGTGCATTGTGTAACTTTTCGGTTGGGCAGTCAGTCATCACCTGCTTGTTTCTATGGAAATGTTATTGCTCTGCCTGGAATGTTCCAAAATGTGACATTAAACAGCTTTACCTTACGTTTATTCAATTACACGAGGTTTATAGCTCAGAAATATCTAGAAAAACCTGGAATGTTTCACAGTATGGCATTAAACTTTTCTATCTTCACGGAGACCAAACCAGACCAAGCTACAGGTCAGATCTGTGGAGAGGCGACCCCGCTCACAGTCACAATGTCTATTTTTCTAGGTATTTTTGAGCTATAAAACCACCTGTAACTTGATTTAAATGTAAAGTAGAGGGGTTTAATGTCACACTGTGGAACATTGTAGACAGAGCAATGATGTATCCATAGAAACGAGCAGGTGACAGACCCTTAACCAAAAAGTTACACAGTGCAGCTTAAATTTTAAAAGTATTTCCGCTGCATTGTATTTGATTTTACGTCTATGTCTTTTCCCCAAGTGCTTTTCATTTTACTACCAAACTAAAAATAACTCCCACAACATTTCTTTTAATCATCTTGACCCTGGCCCTGGTTGGGAGAGAGAGAGGATCTTACCTTGGAGTAGGTCTTTCCCCCCTTCAGTTCCTGTGGGAAAAACAGGAAAACCTTATGAAGTCCTGGATTATTGCTGTTCTATTACCGTCCTGGAAATTACAGGGCAGAGGGCGCAGGCTTCACTCAGGACTCACAAATGTACGGCACGCAGGCACACGGAACGGAAAACAGGCACTGTGGAGGTCCTGGGACAGTCCTGGTGCAGTCCTGGTGCAGTCCTGGTGCAGTCCTGGTGCAGTCCTGGTTCAGTCCTGGTTCAGTCCTGGTTCAGTCCTGGTTCAGACCTGGTTCAGACCTGGTTTAGTCCTGATTTAGTCCTGTTTAGTCCTAGTTTAGTGCTGATTTAGTCCTGGTGGAGTCCTGGTTTAATCACACTTTAGTCCTGGTTCAGTCCTGGTTCAGTCCTGGTTCAGACCTGGTTCAGACCTGGTTCAGACCTGGTTCAGACCTGGTTCAGACCTGGTTCAGACCTGGTTCAGTTCCAGTTTTGCCTTGATTTAGAGTTTGTTTATCTATAATAGTGGTTGTGACTTTTATCCTGGTTTAGTCCTGGTTTAGTCCTAGTTCAGTCCTGGTTCAGTTCATGTTTTACCCTGATATAGATTTATAATAGTGGTTGTGACCTCAGTCCTGCTTTAGTCCTGTTTTAATCCTGTTTTAATCATGCTTTAGTCCTGCTTTAGTCCTGCTTTAGTCCTGCTTTAGTCCTGCTTTAGTCCTGCTTTAGTCCTGCTTTAGTCCTGTTTTAGTCCTGCTTTAGTCCTGCTTTAAGTCCTGCTTTAGTCCTGCTTTAGTCCTGTTTTAGTCCTGTTTTAGTCCTGCTTTAGTCCTGCTTTAGTCCTGCTTTAGTCCTGCTTTAGTCCTTATATAGTCCTGATATAGTCCTGATATAGTCCTGAATTAGAACTAGTTTAGACCATGCAAGTTCTGATTTAGTTCATGTTTTGCCCTGAATTAGACTCTGTTTTTCTATAAAAGTTGATTGTGACCTTAGTCCTGGTTTAGTCCTGGTTTAGTCCTGGTTTAGTCCTGGTTTAGTCCTGGTTTAATCCTGGTTTAATCCTGGTTTAATCCTGGTTTAGTCCTGGTTCAGACCTGGTTCAGACCTGGTTCAGACCTGGTTCAGTTCATGTTTTGCCTTGATTTAGACATTGTTTATCTATAATAGTGGTTGTGACCTTAGTCCTGGTCCAGTCCCGGTCCAGTCTTGATCCAGTCTTGGTCCAGACCTGGTCCAGACTTGGTCCAGACGTGGTAGAAACCTGTTTTACTCCTGCTTTAGTCCAGGTTAATTTCTGGATTTGTTTTGCTCTGATCTATACTGTATTTGATCTTCGTTTAGTCCTGGTCCAGACCTGCTTCAGTCCTGGTTCAGTCCTAGATTAGAACTAGTTTAGACCAAGTAGATTTGCCCTGATTTATACTTAATTTGATCTTGATTCAGTCCTGGTTTAGCGCCGGTTTGGTCCTTTTTTATTCCTGGTTTCAATTCTGTTCTGGTATAAATGCGGTCTTGTCCTTTCTCAGTCCAGTCTCAGTCCTTATTTAGTCCTGACTAAGTAGTTTAGCCTTTAGTCCTGTGTTAGAACTGGTTCAGATCCCGGTCCGTACCTTCCTGACGGAGACCCTGCAGACGGCTGGGTCCAGGACTCCGGTATGGGGGTTGGCGCTCATCTTGGACACGAAGGTGAACCTCTTCCTCCAGCGCACGCAGTGATCGTGAACCTCCTCCCTGAAAACACAAAACACAAATACAGCGTCAAATATGAAACTGAAATTACTGCAAGATTCAGGGGAAAAACTTACTATAATTCTTGAGTAAAATTTAAAAAATAATAATAATATTTTAATCCATGTCACAAACAGCCTAGATAGATGTGTTTAATGTCATAACGTGAAATATTTCAGGTAAAGCAACAACATCTCCATGGAGACAAGCACGTGAGGGACCCTCCACCAGAAAAGTCCTGGTTCAAGCCCTGGTTCAGACCTGGTTTATACCTGGTTCAGTTCATGTTTTGCCCTGATATAGATTTATAATAGTGGTTGTGGCCTTAGTCCTGTTCAGATCTGGCTTAATTCTAGCTTAGTCCTGCTTCAGTCCCGCATCAGTCCTAGTTCAGTCCCTAGTTCAGTCCCTGGTTCAGTCCCTGGTTCAGTCCCTGGTTCAGTCCCTGGTTCAGTCCCTGGTTCAGTCCTGTTTCAGTCCTGCTTCAGTCCTAGTATAGTCCTAGTTCAGTCCTAGTATAGTCCTAGTACAGTCCTAGTACAGTCCTAATACAGTCCTAGTACAGTCCCTGGTACAGTCCCTGGTTCAGTCCCTGCTTCAGTCCCTGCTTCAGTCCCTGCTTCAGTCCTAGTACAGCCCTAGTACAGTCCCGCTTCAGTCCCGCCTAAGTCCCTGGTTCAGTCCCTGGTTCAGTCCCTGGTTCAGTCCCTGGTTCAGTCCCTGCTTCAGTCCCTGCTTCAGTCCTAATACAGTCCTGCTTCAGTCCCGCTTCAGTCCCGCTTCAGTCCCGCTTCAGTCCCGCTTCGGTCCCGCTTCGGTCCCGCTTCAGTCCCGCTTCGGTCCCGCTTCAGTCCTAATACAGTCCCGCTTCAGTCCCGCTTCAGTCCCACTTCAGTCCCTGATTCAGTCCCTGGTTCAGTCCCTGGTTCAGTCCCTGGTTCAGTCCTGCTTCAGTCCTGCTTCAGTCCTAGTATAGTCCTAGCTCAGTCCTAGTATAGTCCTAGTATAGTCCTAGTACAGTCCTAGTACAGTCCTAATACAGTCCTAGTACAGTCCCTGGTTCAGTCCCTGCTTCAGTCCCTGCTTCAGTCCTGCTTCAGTCCTAGTACAGCCCTAGTACAGTCCCGCCTAAGTCCCTGGTTCAGTCCCTGGTTCAGTCCCTGGTTCAGTCCCTGCTTCAGTCCCTGCTTCAGTCCCTGCTTCAGTCCCTGCTTCAGTCCCTGCTTCAGTCCCTGCTTCAGTCCCTGGTTCAGTCCCTGATTCAGTCCCTGATTCAGTCCCTAGTTCAGTCCTGCTTCAGTCCTAGTACAGTCCTAGTACAGCCCCGCTACAGCCCCGCTACAGCCCCGCTTCAGCCCCGCTTCAGTCCCTAGTTCAGTCCTGCTTCAGTCCTGCTTCAGTCCTGCTTCAGTCCTGCTTCAGTCCTGCTTCAGTCCTAGTTCAGTCCTAGTTCAGTCCTGCTTCATCTGCTTCATTAATCTCATAAAAGTTCCACAATGCACCTTTCACATTTACTAAATTACAGGTGATTTTACAGCACGTCGACAGAAACAGAAAAAGAACCTCCACGCTTTTTGTCTCTTCAATTTTTACACCAATTTCTGATCTATGTTATAATTTGAGTTCTTCTCTCAAACTAAAAACACTCCGTTCCACCTCGTGACATCACCATTGTCATTTAAACACACTTAAAATAAATGAGCTGCAGTGGATTGTTCCTGGAAAATTGTGGGAGCATCTTCAGACTCTGGGCTCGGGACTGTTTTGGTTTATTTTGAGCTGAAGTGTGAGTGGAAGAGTCTGGCCTGGAGGTGAGGAGGGCAGGTCTGGAGAGTCTGTATCCTGGTTTTAAATAAAGCACTTCTCTTTGACCTGTTCCTAAAACAAATATTATGTCACACTTTTCCAGGAATCTGCAGCAGGAACAGAGCCAGCGTGACGGACAGTGAGTAATGCCCACACAAAAAAACACTCTGACGGGAATGTGTGGTGCAGAGGAAGGGCAGGGAGGAGAGGAGGGGGATGCTCAGGTCAGAGAAGGGAGAGAGGAGGTCTAGAGGAAGATTTATGGAGGTAGTGAAAGAGGACATTTAGTGAGTTGGCTTGAGAAGAAAGGACGCAGAGAAGATGGTCAGAAGAAGAGGAGGACACAGAGTAGACAGTCAGATGAAGTAGAGGAGCAAAGGAGAGGGTCATATGAAGAAGTAGAAGATGTAGAAGAGAGGGACAGATAAAGTAGAGGATGAAGAGGAAAGGGTCAGATGAAGTAGAGGAGAAGGTCAAAGAACAAGAGGAGGTCGTCAGATGAAGCAGAAGATGCAGAGAAGAGGGTCAGATGGAGCAGAGGAGCAGAGGAGAGGGTAAGATAAAGCAGAAGATGTAGAGGGTCAGATGAAGTAGAGGAGATGGTCAGACAGAGCAGCGGAGAGGGTTAGATGACGTAGAAGATTCAGATGGAGCAGAGAAGGAGGGTCACAAGAGGAGCAGAGGAGAATGTCAGATGACGCACAAGATGTAAAGAAGAGGGTCAGATGGAGTAGAAATACAGGAGACGGTCAGAAGACGTAAAGGATGCAGAGGAGAGGGTCAGATGGAGCAGAAATAGAGGAGACGGTCAGAAGATGTAAAGGATGCAGAGGAGAGGGTCAGATGGAGCAGAAATAGAGGAGACGGTCAGAAGATGTAAAGGATGCAGAGGAGAGGGTCAGATGGAGCAGAAGAGAGGGTCAGTTGAAGTAGAGGAGAGGGTCAGAAGAAGGAGAGCATGTAGAGCGGAGCGTCAGATGACGTAGAGGAGCAGAGGAGAAGGTCAGATGAGGTAGAAATAGAGCAAGTGGTCAGAAGAAGTAGGGGATGCAGAGGAGTGGGTCAGATGGAGCAGAGAAGAGGTTCAACTAGAGCAGAAGATGTAGAGAAGACGGTCAGATGGAGCAAAGGAGCAGAGGAGAAGGTCAGATGAAGAAGAAGGTGTAGAAGAGAAGGAGCAGAAAAGAGGGTCAGATGGAGCAGAGGATGCAGAAAAGAGGGTCAGATGGAGCAGAGGATGCAGAAAAGAGGGTCAGATGGAGCAGAGGATGCAGAGGAGAAGGTCAGATGAAGTAGAAGAAGCAGAGGAGCGAGTCAGACAGGAGCAGAGGATTCACTGTGGACTATAAGAGACAGGAGAAGTAGTTATATCTGCATCCAGAGCCATAAACAGATCTATCATTTGGAAAAAGGCCGTAAACCAAAGTCTAACTGAAATACTGAAATAGACTAAACTGAACTCAGCTCCGTGGGAAGAGCCATAATTATTCTGTGTAAATGTAGGCCTGCGCTTCAGACTGAAACTCAGATACGTCATTAAAACTCCTCTGAACGCCACCAGCTTTTCATTATATCTACAGCCAGGACATTTCTATTTACAGACACGCTTTCCTACACAATTAAAAATCAAAAATGTCCAAGAGAATATAACAGGTTTTCACATTTCTGTTTTGGTATAAGATTGATTACGACCTGTCCCAGTCCACGCTCAGTCCTTACAGATCTTTTTCACAACGGCTGAAAGCTGTAGGTTTTCCCGGTTAATGGTTTTCTGTGGCAAAATGTGCGTGTAAATGTCTCTTCACCAGCTTCATAAATCTGCCCCATCACCAAATCCTCAACCAACAAACTCCACAAAGGATAAACATTCTAGCATGAAGAATTTATCCACAACTATCAAGAGAAGAAAGACCAAAACTTAAAGGAGAACAACTGAGCAAAACTAACATTATGGTCATGAATAAAACAGAAGGAACTTGTTTGCTCAGACTGATTCTACAATTAAAATAAAAAATCTATTTCATGATGTAGACCCCGTTTACACTGAAACAAATCTGCGTATCACCATATCGGAAACGATTTGCGTCCAGACGCGTCGTTTCTGTGATTTTGAGCCAAGGGAGATGGCAAGTGTAAAAACGGTCTTTTCGTAGACCGACGACGAGGTTCAGTTGTTACTTAGATTAACACTGGATTTTAAGACGAGCACGGCGGCTCAGAGTGAGGACTGACTTGTTTCTGTGTCCGCAAAGCCTTCCCTATTCACACAGATTTGAGCGTATTTGTTTACGTTTTACAGAAATGAAACTTAAAACCGCATGACTCATTTGCATAAACTAAGCGCTCAAAAAAACATCTCTTTCCTTGTGTCGCTGATGTGGTTCAGCTTCTGTCGGGCTAAAGGACATGACTCGGTGGAATATGAGTGTTCTTTCTGTGACAGAGGATGTGCTGCTGATGGTGAGTCTGTTCTGTGTTTCTGTCGCGTTGGAGATGGTTCATGTGAAACATTTCAGAGATTATACGGTCTATGCGTACAATCACACGCATAGACCGTTTATATGAATGGACATGGCGGTGAATTAGCTACTTCACGGTGCACAGACCTACATCAGAGTGTCAGTGTTTTCAGGCGTCCACATCGTGCCGGATCAGATCTGTACTCAGATGAATTCGTGGGAGCTGGTGACACCAGATCGTTCCGTCTCTGGAGCCATTTTCAATCAGATTAGTGTGAACGAAACACTGCATCCACAACGAAAACAACTCGAATACAAACGAGTGTGGACGAGGCCATAAATATTAGCATAGAGAGACAGATTTGTGCAGTTCAAATGCGAGTCATCTCTAGTCGTTTGTCTCCTTTAAGTTTTGGTCTTTCTTCCCTTGATAGTTGTGGATAAATTGTTCATGTTAGAATGTTTATCCTTTGTGGAGTTTGTTGGTTGAAGATTTGGTGATGGGGCAGATTTATGAAGCTGCTGGAGAAAACGACACACATTTACACAGATATTTTGCAAATAGAAAAACAAACTAGAAGTTCCACAACCTACAGCCGTTGTGAAAAAGGTCTATTTAGTCCTGACCCAGTCCTGGCAGTCCTTTTAGCTTTACTCCTGTTGTACATTGTTTCCCAAAGACTGAGTCACAAGAGATTTTTTTTTTTTTGGGTTGCCTTGTCACGATCTAGCCTGACA